AATCTGAATCTGTTCCGTTTCTGCTCCTGATCCTCGAAGTGGTTTAAATCGTTGACCAATAAGAACGTTCGTGTTTTAGAGGGAATATTTAGTGTATTTAGTACATTTTTTTAGTGGAGTCCCATCAAATTACAGTTGCAGGGAGGGACCTATTCAGAACCTAAATGATGATAGTTTAGATTTCCATTTGAAATTACCCTTTATTCAAAAATTGGTTGGCACTAACGGCAGGCAGGAGGAGTGTATAGTGTGCGGTGGGCTTAATATAATACTACAAAAAGATCGCAACTATTTTTGAAAAAATCAACTCAGGGTGATTTTAATACCCTATTGTATATCCCCTTAGAAATCATGAACTGATCGAGTGATATGTCATTGTCATGTCCACACATTTCAATGGGTGATGCACAAGGCTACTTAAAGATAAAGTTGAGTTCTGGTCATGCGATTGCATAGTGAAAGAAACTGTGTGGAATCGATCAGAATGGGTTGATCATCTAGCATTTAAGTATTGGTGTGTACTGCAAAGTTCTAGAATCAACAAAGTGATGAGAAATTTGGCCCAGTCCAAGCACTGTACACAGAAAGATGTATATGGGACTAAACAAACATGTGGCATAAAAATCTGTCCCGATTTTTATGCTGTTACATGACAATGATGACATATTTAGAATATGAAGGCATTTGAAGAGCCATGCTTTTCGGGGAACATTTTTTATCTGATGTTCTCTTCTACATTTGCATAATAACAATGATAACGCTCACAATTTATTTTTCACCTCTTCCCATAACTCAACCTTCTCTTTAAATTGCATTAGGTTGATTATAGTTTCTAAAGGGATAGTTGAGTTCTGTTTTCGAACCGCACATGCCTTCAAAGTGCATGGTTATTGTTTTTATTCTTATCTATGACATTTATAGTGCCCTTTTAGAACCTAAAATTGCTATGAGGGTAATTTTAGACCCAAAAATGTGTGAAATTTAGCCAATACGATCATACCAATTCAGCTCCACTTAAAAAAAAAACATGGTGACCGTTAATTAATTCATACCTGCCAACATTTGAAAATGAGAATTAAGAATTTTTAGCACGGTATGTCTTCGAAAATAAGAAATCTGTACCCTTAACAGGCGTTCGCACATGCAGCGGCAGTGTAACTGGCAATACGCGGTAAATCTGTGCAAAAAAGCGAATACAAATTCGCTGCTCAATCATGCAGCCCTTCAACTCACGCAATATGTGAACTCTCACATCGCGGCATATGATAAAACAAGCTTAATTTGGCTTAAGCAACAACAAAAAAAAAAAAAAAAAAAAAAAAAAAAAAAAAAAAAAAAAAAAAAAAAAAAAAAAAAAAAAAAAAAAAAAAATCGAAATTTTGAAAATCCGGGATCTCCCGCATTTTGGGGTCCTAAATATCCAGAAATGCGGAATATCCCGGAAAATGCGGGAGGGTTGGCAGGTATGTTAATTGTTTAATTAAAAATAACAATACATGAGTCGGCTGATTGTGGATAAAATAAGCAACACGAAAATGCCAACCAAAAAGCCAACATCGGCATTGGCTGAAATATGACGTAAAAGGCGTTATTTCGTTTTTTTCAACGGTTTTCAACGGTTTTTTCAAATTTTCAAAATATCTTATATTTGTGGTGGTACACAAGTATTAGAAATTGTTATATTTCAGCCGTCTCTGAACCGATTTTGATCAAACAAAGATTTTAATTTAAATATTATGTTCTTTCAAATTTGACATTCAGTTTTTCATTATCTCACAAAAAAAATATTTTGTGTAGCGCCCTCTGCAACAGAACTCAACTATCCCTTTAAGTAGTTGATATCGTGTTCTAGGTAATGAATCCTGTCTTGCTACAAACGCAATACAACTACACCACAATATCTTGATAGTATTAGTATTCCACTCTATCCCTTTTGTGACTCTAAATGACACAATAATATTTAAAGAAAAAACGGAAGAATTACACAGACGGAAGCAAAATATATACATATACGAAGATGAAATGATTCATCTTTAAAGGTCCCTTCACATATGGCATTAGAGTACAGTGCCTCAGATGTCAGTGTCATGATAATGATTAACCACATGTACACAGCGCCCTATTTCTAATGGACACTTCTTTACCAATAATAACACTATTCAGTTCTTGAATAGCGCATATCACATTATATAACGTCTCTATGCATTTCTAAAGAGCTTTGGAAATTGCAGTCAAACCTGTCCATAGCGACCACCCAAGAGAAACACAAAAAGTGGCCTTTGTAGACAGGTGGTCTTTGTAGACAGGTTCCTTTAGTACATGATTCAATGAGAAACCATTTTCAAGGGAAACAACAAATGTGGCCTTTGTAGACAGGTGGTCACTAAAGCAGGTTTGACTGTATTACCCTAGCTTTAGCTCCGGCAGCCGTTACCAGCACAAAGTGTATTTCCAGGAAAAATCCTAACAGGTGCCCATTTACCTCCCCTGGTTGAGTGTACATGGCAAATGTAGATTAATGTCTTGCAAAAGGACATTATTACCCATCAAATGTTTTTTGTATGCCTCCACGGTTTTTGAGGTTTACTTGAACATATGTGAACGAAGCTCAAAAAGATGAAAATAATAGTTTTGGTAGTAGCAATCAACATCATAAATTAAATCAAATTCACAGGTAAGCTTTACCCAATTTGAACATGTTTACTACTAGCTGCACTACCCCCACAAGACACGACACGGTACTTCGCAAAAAAAGCAAAAACTTGCATTTTTCGCTTAAATCTAAGATCAAATCAAAATATATCTACAAATTGCACCAAATACTGAATCAATATCTTTGGGGATGATATTCAATGCATAACTAGCATTAACACACTTGCTTTGGTGCAATGGCTCTACATTTAGAGAAAAACTCTAAAAGCCATTATGAAATCTTCTGAACATTGTAAGAATAGTTTTCAATGGAGTTTTTTTTTGGTCTCCCTAAAGGTGAACAGAAGTTGAGAATTCTTCCTAAATTCACATCAAGTGAGAGATACTGACATGAGAATACACACATGGGACTACACTTTGTATTTCAGTCTGGATAGGTCAAATTTCCTGACCTCTGAAAGTCAGTATGAGCTCTTGCTAACGTCGTAAGAATTATTTTTCAAAACATACATTACACATTTCTTGAAATGTTTTTTTACAAATTTGTTACAATTTTTATAACTGCTTTTAAAAGCAGAAATATATGCGCAAATGTTCAATGTTGAAGTGAATTTGCGATATCAATCCAGGCCGGATTGATATAATAGTTTACAAAATATATCAATTAGTAGGCGGTTTCCCGGCAAAATTTGAATCAGCACGTATCAGTCAAAACATATTTTTTCACATGATTGGTAATAACAGCTTCCATTTCATTTTTTACAAGGGGGGGGGGGGGCGTTTCCAAAACTTGGCTATACCTTTATGTGCAGTAGACCCAATAACATACCCATTAAGTGACCCAATGTTTGCTGCTGGCAGTACTTCATTACACTTGTCGAGGTAGGAGTTATTGTTTTTAAGTTCAGTTAAGGGACAGTGCGAGGGTGATGTATATAGAGTGGTGAAGTGTGACGTCATCAAAAAAACTATTTCTAGAATTTCTCAATTTTAAAAGCATCAAAAGTAATGTCCAAATGTCGAAAATCAATTGAATATGTTGAGTATTAGCAAAGATATGACCATCTGAATGAATAGATTTCCTATAGGAACTCGGTGTTATATTGCTCTGGTTCATATTTGCCCGGTATGGAAAAGTCATTATCATACATTTCCCTTGCCTCAAAACTCTCTGAGAGACTAGTGGGGGGGGGGGTATTTTTTGATGGGACCACAGGTTTGCTGTGCACGAGACATGACTTGTACACCCATTAATAGTATTCCCACCAAGTCAGGGAATTATGACCTGCTGCACATGCAAACTGACTATGATCTCCCTTAAACACACGTTTCAATGAGAAACCATTTTCAATGGAAACTCAAATGTGGTCTTTTTAGACAGGTGGTCACTATAGCATGTACACTGAACTTTTGACAAATATTGATAAGTTTCATTGGTTGACCAGAGCTGGTCAAAGCATGAGAGCTTAAAGATAAAGACCAGTTATGGTCATGTGACTGCATTGTGAAAGAAACATTGTGGAATCGATCAGAAAAGGTTGATAATCTAGAGATAAGTATTGGTGTGTACTGAAAGGTTCTGGAATCATCAAAATGATAAGAAATTTGGCCAAGTCTTAGTAAAGTTACAAGCACTGTACACAGAAAGGTGTATATGGACTACGTGACATCCATCAGGTCCAAATAGATAAAATTATTTACCAAATATATCAATTAGTAGGGGGTTTCTCTACAAAATTTGTATCATCACGTCTTAGTCAAAACATATTCTTTCACATGATTGGCAATAAGAGCTTCCATGTAATTTTTTTTGAGAGGGGGGCGTTTCCTTAACTGGTCTTTACCTTTAACAGCGCATAGCCAAGAGAGGGCGGCACAACTGGTTTAAAATCATTCATCACAAACAAAGTGTATTACATAACTGCACATTGGACAGAGAAAGAACTGAAGTGCTGTAGTGCTGACAATACCTGGGCCAGTTCTCAATTCAATACTTAGGTCAGAAGTATGAGTATTCTACTTGGTTTCTAGCTTAGATAAAATACTTTGGTATTCAGTTTGATGTTTTGGCTAAGTATTCTACACTAAAGTGATGGCTCCCTAACAGGCTTGAGCCATATATTTTAAAGACTTTGATTGGCAGGCATGAGGTTTTCATATGCAGTCATTATAAGCTGCATGTAAATACCTGACATCATGGCCTTCAGTATCAAAATACAAGTTGGCCCATTAGATCAAAAGACTTGATTGATTGATTGATTTGAATTTATTCCATTTCATATATCAATTGTTTGCACAATAAAGAACATAGTTGACAAAGTAAGTTCAAAATTATGAAATGAAACAGGAAACTACTGGAAAGCATAGCTTGTTTTTGTAGGTTCCCAAGAATAAATATAATATGAATATTATTTTCATCAATCATTTTAAAGTGATTTAAAGTGACTTAGATGTGATCTGACAAAGACTTGAGCCATTTCGCTTAGCTAAGCTAAAGACTAAGTAAAATACCAACATGTTTAAAGTACTGAACTGAAATACGGGCCCTGATGAATATGTAGTGACGAGAGGTGATATTACACATTGAAGCTTGGCGGAATGAATCGTCTGTACTGCGTAGAACGACAAGGTATCATCCAATACCACATGGGCCCTGAGAAAATGAAAGCAAAAGGACGTTAGATCAGTGGTATATCCAGAATTTGGCAGGAGAGTGGGGTAGGGGGTAGGGGACGCGTTATTTTCTTTTGCGGCACAGATTGGGCTTTTTTTTTTTTAAAAGGTCTTGATTTAACCCTAAACCTAACCCTAAATTTTCCCATAGGCTCAACACGCACCTAACCCCAATCTGTGCTGCAGAAAAAAATAACGCGTAGGGGATGTGGGTAAAGGGAGGGGTACAAAATAGGAATGAACGTTCCTCTCTCCAAACTTTTCTAAACTTGTGAATTTCACAATTTGATTTAGATATGATATTATTTACATGGCTGCAGCAATAACTGCATTCAAATAATTTGCAGTCATTAGTGAGTAAGTAATAATTTTGGCCACATTTTCTTTTGAATTACAGTTTTATGATAGGTGCATTAAAATGAATGCATGACCTTTTGATTTCTATATATATATCTATATATATTTAAAAATTTAGACTGAATTCATTGAATAGCATACAAATGGCACTCAAGTTTTCAGTTTTTAACATTTAAGAGGTATGGTACCAGCTGTTCAGTTTCAATATTCAGCTTCATCATCTAAAATCTATCTATTGTTATTCTATTGACATCAGTCTTTTGCACAGCCTCATCGCAGCCAAGCAAGAATTCTTTGGAGACAATGACAACAATATATGTATCAAGAACAGGACAAAAACCTTTTACATTTTTTGTAATTGTTAAATAGTCCACCATCAAGAATGATTAGATTTGTGCTCCCGAGTACTTGGGTTGAGTACTGAGTATCAAACCATCAAGAAATGATCAAAATTTGAGTACGAAATATCGAGGTAGGGCCAAGTCAAAATAACGTAAGAGTATTAATAGACGAGAATAGGCTATCAGCAACTTGACTTAATGTAACAGTTAAAAGTTCTTACACAAAGTCGAGTTGCTCACAAGTATGAGTATGGGAACTCCAACACTGGACCTAGGGGTTGTGGTTGGGGGAGGGTGTTCAGATTTGTTAGCATGTATGCCACAGTAAATTATTGCTGCAATGATTTTAAAATTGTACTTAAAGGGATTGGGTAACTTTGTCCCAGTTTCTGAAACAAAATCCTGGATTTAGCTCATGCTGCAATGATAATTATAAGCCTTTAGGTCAGTCAGGAACCCCATGACTTTTACAAGCCGATCACTTGTCTGATTATCAAGATATTTATGATTGGAAATCGAAACCAAATTTTGAGTTTTCCTAACGGTTTTCAAAACACTACAGTCTATTGGGGAAAACGAGTATGGTATAACCGGTAACTCAAAGATTTTTACTATTTTGAGGCACTTCTTGATGATTTTGAAGCGCGATTTGTTTAGGGCTTCAATATTACACCATATTAGACACTGATAACACGTAGGGCCTTGTATTACAGATTTAACATTGTTAAACAGTGCCTTTAAGTGTACAGCACTTCACATTCTTGTATCATAAACCCACAACTACTTTTTTTTCATCCCCCTGGTATTCATTCACACTTTAGCAGTTTACAGAGGGCAAATGTGAATAGACCTTTATTTGCTGGGGGTTGTAGCCCAGGGCAACATTTCATGAAACTGTCCAAAGTACTGGTTCACCGACATTTTACTTGTGATTCACGCGTTTCACTGGGATGTCGTCGAACTTGTACTTATGACAGCTTTGTGAAATGCTACCCAGGTGGTGGTGCTCCGTTATGATATAGCTTACCGTTACCAAAGACCTCCCTGAGTAAATCCATCTTGGTTCTTTGAGTAGCAGTTCTCTGATGGCCTCGATTCTTGACTTGTTCTACTAGCGTCTCATCTTCAAATATTGCGCTTATCTGAAATACGTATCGTTAAAATAGTTAAGTTAAATGGATGATTACAATATGATGACGATGATGGTGATGGTGGTAGCGATATTGATGGTGAAAGTACTACTGATGATGATAATGGTGATAACGAAGATGCATATATGATGACTAAGATGATATGAGGAGGATGAGGAGGATGATGATAATGATGATGATGGTAGTGTTGATGGTGGTGATGGTGGTAGTGATGATGATGGTGATGTGGTAGTGATGATGATGGTGATGTGGTAGTGATGATGCTGGTGATGGTGGTGATGGTGATGATGATAACGATGGTGATGATAATGATGATGATGATGGTGATGATAATGATGATGATGATGACGAAGATGATAGATGATAGAAGGATGATGACGATGATGATGATGATGAGGATGGTGACTTAATCAGTCTCTGGCTTCTTTCAGAACATTGCAGTGAATATTCATGACAAAAATAGTCAATCTTTACTGGTTGCTAAACAAAAATACAGTTAACAATTAAATTATTCATACCCCACCAAGTTTTGTAATTTGTTAGCTACATGATTTAGGTTTCTTGAGAATGTGACATATCAAAGTTATATCTAAATTACTCAACAAAGGCCCTAATTCAACCAATTCACCTTTCATTCTTTAGTTACGAAAAACATGAACAACAAGATTTACAAGGGGTATGACTATGAATAATTTAGCTGCAAATACTAACTGTCCAAAGCAGGAACAAGAATGGCTGTGGCATGAACAACTATAGTACAGGGGCCTATAGAGGGCAGTAGACTATGAAGTTAAACAAAAAATATCTCAACTGGCCACAGCCAGACAGCCGAAAAGGACTGTTGACATTTTGCAACAAAAGTCTCCACTTTGACAGTTAATCCCATAAAGCCTTGAGCTTCGCCTCACTTTGTCAGTCTCTGGTTACTTTCAGAACATTATGAATATTTAAGCCCAAAATTGTCAATATTGATTGGTTGCTAAATAAAAATACATGTAGGTAGAGGGAACATGAATGGCTGTGTCATGAACAGCTATAGTACCAAGGCCAATAGAGGGCAGTAGACTACGAAGATGACAGTGAAGTCCACACGGTCTTACATTTCAAATACTCTCTTTAGCACAAGGAGTGAACAGAAAAAAAATATCACCACCAAAACCTCTGTAACTTTTTAAAAACTCATAAGAAAGATACGTTGGTTGCATTTTGATAAAACAAGAAGTTTGACATTTTGAAACAAAAATCTCATAAATGGATGTTGAAGAGTGATGGTAGATATTTGCTTACCTGATCGCAGCCGATGGCAGCAACAAACAATCCAAACAGAAGTGATATAACAACAAGGACTATCGAATGAGCTCTGTTAAAAAAACATTAATTAATCGAAAAGGAAGAAAAAGAAGAAGAGAATGCTTCAAGAGTATGGCAAAAATGATATTCTAAGATCAGGGTCCTGTCTTAGAAAGAGTTGCGATTGATCCAAATCAATCGCCAATGTGCAGTCCCCTATCTTTTATATGATATCAATTACAAACTAGTTGCGATTAATATAAACCCTTTATAACAAGGAGACCTGAAATATAAATAGAATTAGGGAAGTCCAAGGTGTTTGTTCATTTGATCTCACCACAACAACAACAAAGAAAACCACCCCTAATATATATATATATATACCATAATCATAATGAGGGTGCATGTACAAGAAGAGCTTGAAATGTACATGTTAAAGCTTGTACATATAAAAGTATTAAACAAAGGCCAAGCAACACACCTTTTTATTCTTGAGTTACAAACACATCAAATGTACAAGGGGTATGAATAATTTAGCGATACACAACTCGAGGGATCAGTGACACAAAGACGTAAATCCATTTTGGCCGTTTTTAGCAAAAGTGATTTATGTGTCACTTAGCACTGAGGCCTTAAGGAGTTAAGTCTAATTTTCACTAGCAATTGACTTCAATGGGGTGTTGGGTGGAGTTAAATCTTTGTGTTTCCTGGAAAGCCCACATTTTTCTGAACATTTTGATATCAAATACTCATTTTGGCAAAATATGGAGTTACATCTTTGTGTCCTGGACCCTCGAAATTATATTCCTATTTCTTCATGTTATTGGTACACTGTATCATAGCGAAGGGAATCCAATGAAACTCACATTCTTGCATTCTTCTCGTCCATATCCTTACATGAGGGGCATTCCCCTGACCATGCGATGATGAGTACAATAATGGAATAAAGCGATGCCATACCTGCGAGTGTGCAAAGCAGTAAGACAAAGCATGGTTAAACAACTGCACCCTTACATTAACATTTTAAAGGGGCTGTAGCATGACAAGACTATGTGGTATAAGACTACGGACGACGCGACCGCAGTAGACCTGCATATTTACTTGCGTGCAATATACGCAAAACCGAAACGTGAGGAGAACTTTGGTCTGTTTCGCAAACGCTAGCGCGCACTGACCCAGTTAATCAAGTCCATTCGTTTACGTGCAGTTGTCCGAAATAAGGTGTAGATGGCGTCAACCAGTATTTCCCATGCGACAGCCCCTTTAACATTACAGGTCATGACAATACTGCTACAGTATCACTTCCTTGTAATACCTCAGTTTAGCACTGCCAAACCGACTCCATACCAACTCCTGTGTGGGTAATGTAATACATTACAGATTTTGAATACAATGTTACAGTCACATTTTCATGTAAAGCCTCGTAGAAAGAGCCACATCAGGCTATTTATTTGATTTTGGGATAAACTTGGTTATCACATGTTACTCACTGCATTTTTGTGGCTGTTACATGTTGAATGGTTCTCAGTGTGAGGTAGGAAAAAAAAATTAACAATGACAACCAGCCAGGCCTTTCTACAGATGCAGGTCCTAGCTGTAGTTATGCGGTGCTGCATGTCTTGTAGGTCACTCTACCTGGCTTTATGTGGCCTTTGTCTTAAAATTATATGGCATTATGTGGCAGACCAGACACGTAGACTTATAGAAGCTTCTAAGCTCCCCTCACAAAAGAAAAAGAAACTTACCAACATAAAACAGGAATTGAATGAAGTACTTTTGGTTGAATTCTCCAACACAGTTGTTGATCCTGCAATTCAGATGAATAAAATATAATGAAAGATAGCTGTCATTTATATCATATATAATAATAATAATAACAATAAAAATGGTGCTTATAAAGCGCTGGGTATATATCATTAATTAAAAACAAGAAAAAGAATAAGAAATCAGCAATAGAAGACATTGTCAGGATTATTCAAATCCTCCCCCCCCCCTCCCGACGTTCCCTCCTGGTATTACTGATTGGTGTGTGCTAGTGTACCACTACACCAGATTCCCCCTGCATCCTGTTACTAAGATTGCGATGGATTCCTAACATGCAAAGGTGATGACTGTCCTATACACAGAAACTCCATTTTAAAATCCTATCTGAGGGATGGAGTGTTTTCCACTGAAACCTAGCCAGCTTCTTTGAAACAGGGAAGGGCATATTAGCACACAGTAAATCCTTCAGTTGTCCTGTCGAGTGACTCTGGCTGGATTCAAGCCATGATCCTTGGTTCAACAGGCAGATGGTCTATTGACTAAGCCAACTTTCTTCCATATCTGTCAAGGAGGGGTGTGTCACAAAGATTCGAAGTTCGAATTAAAAATTATGGAGAGCCATTTGAATCCTTATAATGTAATATATTAAAAAGCAACAATTCAAGTATTCAAGACTTTTCATGAATTCCATATCAAGAACATGAAATCTCCCATGATAATAAAAAATATGAATGATTTGAATCAACATTTTATGCCTTTTAAAATATCTTTCACAAAATACTTTCAAAGATGCTAACGGCTCGCCATAATTGTTAAGTCTTACTTAGGATCTTTGTGAAACACCCCCCAGTTCTATCAACTCTTTTGTTGTCTTGTATTTACAACTTCTGTTAGGCGTCTCTCTCGGGCTTTCACTCTTACTTACTACACTCATTCCACCATCCTAACTCGTGATGTTGTCTTTCCATCCCCCAGGACGTCTACCAATGGCCGCATGACATCATACGCCAGTGCCAGCAAAACAGGGAACACATTTTGATACACGTACATAACGATTCAAATCCATTCGAATTCAGATTCTGACGAGCCACTTTGATTGAACGATGGATTAAAAAACAAAAACCTAGACATTTCTGCAAACTACTGACTGACCATGGACAGTGATGATCCATCTTGCGTACGCATCGTCGACAGATCCGACAGTGGTGCGCCCTCGGCGGTCGATACGCCTCACATTTCTGACAAACAGTCCAACTTTGGCCAGATACCTTTATGACAGAGATGAACAAGTTACAGAGGAAAGATAAATTTTGACCTGTTCAAATTGAATCATTAGATTATGTTTTGTTTTAGAGAACACATTCAAAATGTGTTAACTTGAAGAAAAAACACAACATTTAAACTCAAATTATTCATAGAATGTATTCATGGCTCAAAAGACAAGAGGAGATGTTTACACTAACATTTGTAAGAGCTGATCAAGGAAGTTCCGCAGTAATTTTCATGCATACCGTAGCTCCGCAGAACCAGCTGATCATGTATTTACTACATGTGTGCACAGTACCAGGAACTACCAGGCATGGGTGGTATTCTGATAGCGCGTACTAAATTAGTCTGAGACTAAAGTCCAGATTAGCGGCGGATTAACTTGCAAATTTAATCTAGGTTTATAACTTGTATTCCGATAGCAGTTTTCGCCTTGACCCGAACTAAAATGTGAATTAAATCTCCCATTTTTTTAGTCTCCTTAAATCTTTTGATGAAAAGGTGATGGATCCTTTACAATGATGTTCTTACTTCTAACTGAATTCCTTGGTCAACGCAGGAGGGTATTTTTTATTGGATGAATACACCTTTTCTGGTAAAAAATATGCCATCTTCTATAAATGTTGACATTGGATGGAATGATGCCCATATTACTGACTTTAAAAGACACATCTGGTCAAGAAAGGTGAATAATCCATCTGGATAAATAGTATTAATCCTGTCGCCTATCTTCGCTCCAGTGATTTCAGGGCAGCAGACAGCAAGAAACCCTGTGAAGAATCACTCGGCTTGAGAAAGTCCACAGGAGTAGATGAATGCTGGACTCGGGGGTAATAGTGAGCACTAAAAAAAAATTTTTCCTCAACCACTCACCCCTTGAGTAAAAAGGGTGAAAAAAAAGGGTTCGGGGGAAAAATAAATTGGCATTAAATAAAATTCCTCCCTTTTGAGTAAGAAAATAGGGAAAAAATAGGGAAAAATCGGGAAGAAGAAACAAAAATCAGGAACAAAAATTGGAAAACCGATTTCAATCAGGTAATTATCAGGCCTGTTGACTACTTAATTTTAAGGTTGGTAGAAGCCTAAATTACATTTTAATTCTTTTCTCGTTTCTTCTTACTTACCCTGTCAATTCTCGACTTCATAGGTTGTCCTGTTCTAACATCTGAAAAGTCAATGGCAGCTGTAGGCAAGGGAACAATGCCTGTCCGTGTCGATGCATGTTAGAAGATAAAAAGAAAAGAATACAGTTAATGACCTACCCATTGCCTATGTCCCATTTGCAGGCCCAAAAATGAAAAAGGTTAAATTCCAAAGGCATTTGAAAGACAATACTGATTTAGAACTTCCCTAAAAAAAAAAGGGGGGGGGGGGGCTTGAAAATGTCATTAAAGGAGCTACACAAAGAAAATTCACTTACAACTCATAATTATAACAAATTATATATGGATGAAAAGATTTTCTCTTGGAAAACACGAACAATTTGCTGAGAAATCATATAGATACATGTATCATGGAAAGGCGTAAAATGCCATTTTTCAAGACCCTCCTAAGACCCCCGAACGCCCCTGGACGTAAGTCAAACACACAAGCGTAGCGAGCTCTGAATAGTGACGTCACATACTGGACAAACAGCTCAGTGCCGTGTAGCAGTTTGCAGCTAGCCAGCCGTGTCCCGTATGTGACGTCACAAATATTGACTTTCTACAAAGGACCGCTGAAGGCAGAAAATCTGGATCTCAAAACTAACATTTTTGATCGGCAAGGCTTCCCCTTCGCAATGATATGAGTTTTGCATCACTTCTTAACACTTTTGATTCTTTGTGTGGCTACTTTAAGTGGGAAAATAATAACTATTAGTTGTCAAAATGACTTAAGTGCTACCAAGTCAGTAAGTTATAGTCTGATTTTCAGACCATTGTTCGAATGGTCGTATGTTTTGCGCTGCGCAAAGATTCAATCAGTTTAATCTTTATCCATTACAAGAAGTGGGTTATTGATGTAGACAAATGTTGAGTACCCTTTACAGCTCATTTTATGTATGTTATTACCACAGAAGAAAAAAGGCCAGTCAATAGTGTCTGACAGTGAAGTCTCGCAAGTAAACAGGTTTCCTTTCATAATTTGAATATTAGGACAATGCTAACGTTTAAATTTCACAGCTGGGACATACAGTACATCACATATTCATAATTCCTGCAAAGTTCTACAGAATTTGATGTTGGCTGCAGAAGGGATGATGGCTGCAAAAGGGACATACATGTAGGCAAGTCCATCTTCATAATTATTTTTTTAAAAATTATTTAAGCATCCAATAAAAAAAAAAAATTATTATCTTTCTACATTTTTAATAAATCAAACAGGATTTTACAACCCTGTAAAATACCTTTCAAGGCCCTCACACAGTTACTCAATTCAGAATATTTAATAAATTCTCATGTGCTCTGTTACTGATGGGGGAATTTATTTTCTTCATGTTGGTGTACAAACCTATGAGCAATGATTGAAACTAGGGAGCATGTATCATGTATGATTGATTTTTTCAGAAGAAGTAGAATTTATAATTTTTTTTTTTTTTTTTTTTTGGGGGGGGGGGGGGGGGGGGGGACATGTACATAGCAAATAGTAGAGTTGCCAATTTGAGTAAGATTAAAACTTCAATACAGTGGAACCGCAATATAAAGAGCTCTGATATAATGAGGTATCTGTTATAACAAGGTGATTTTGCTGGTCTAAGCTTTTTAGAATTTTTTGTTTTTTACCCTGATATAACAAGATTTCTGATATTTATAACAAGGTAATTTCCATGGTTCCAAGGACCTCGCTATAATGAGATTCCACTGTACTTCATAACTTGTCAAATCTATGGGTGGTATTCTCGAAAGCGGATTAACTTTAATCCATGGTTTAATCCACTGACTAATTATGGAATGCCAAGTGTCCATATGAATATATTTTTGAATAATTTGATATGTCCCTAAATTACCATGATACAATAATTATCTCATCATTATATTGTTGTTTATTAATTATGTTAATACATTCTATTTTAATTTAGTGACAGATTGAATTATTAAAAAACATATTCATATGAACAATTGGCATTCCATACTAAGTCAGTGGATTAAACCACGGACTAAAGTTAGTCCCCAAGAAAACCACCCTGAGGTACGTACCGGGATCAGAAAGGACTGCTCTAAAATGAGCCACTGTTAAACAGAGAACGATGGTATTGAAGATGAGGGCATGGAACGCTCCCCATAGACTGCAAGAAAAGAAAAGAGAATTCAAAGAGATTTAGCATAAATTACAAGATAAATATGGACTGGGTGAAAAATAGCCAGTGTGAAAAATAGCCAGTCCGACCAGACTCGCTGACTTCAGATGCATGAGCGATGTGTATATTTAGTGGAAAAGGTACAAGCTAGTAATACTGATAGTATGAGGTCCTTCCTGTTTACAGTCAGACTTCATGCATTGTACTTGTACCATTGTACATGTAGGAATGGCCTTACCGGTAGGCCTACTTAGTTCTAATCAGTAAGGGCGCTGGTCTGAGAATGAGGATCGTCTGCATAAGCGGGGATATCCTCGTAAACGCGGACATATCGCCTCCTACAAAATAAGAAGCGTCCGCATTTTCGCAGCCGTTTTTTTCTTCGGCGCTCTGCGGGTTTCGTGTTCCCGATCTGCATGCTGGCAATGCAAAAAACGGATGCCCCCAGTTTCCGGACTCTGTCATCCCGAGGATTGATTGCTCATAATGTGAAAGTCTATGTAAAAAGTCAATGTGAAATGCATCAAGAAAATCATTGAGGAATTTGTTTTTCGCATTGCCAACGCTGGGATCAGAAATCAAACTCGTTCGAATATGGATATCAATTTGTTTGCGGATGCCTTTGTAGATCTAAACGTTTACGAAGACGAACTTCGTTGATGCGGACAATCCTTTTTCTCTGACCAGGGCCCGTACTGCTTATCCCCTCCTTCTTCTCCACAAAATATTGCTGCCCACGTCAACTGCACAGGAATAAACAGGGAAGTGAAACTTGGAATTGGATATGGAACTGGAACTTGGAAGCGGAATGGAAGTCGAGATGAGCTGAGCAAACATGATTCAGTCTCACTCTCACAGTCTCAGTGCTTAAAAATGCTGAAATATGCTGAAATTACTTATTTCCCATGTATTATCCCGACTATTATCAAATTCATTATCATCATAGATCCGGTAATTACGCTACATCTCGCATCGACTACGTGAAAAAGTTGCTAACAAAATATACAACGTATGGGGCTTGACACATACCTTGACGACATACTCGACGGTATAATCAACCAATTTACGACAACATAGTCTGCATATAACACAGCACAGTATGTAATGATGATACATACAAATCCACAGGGATCATCTCGACAAGTTACCATCGTTGTAAATTGTCATACTATGGTAAAAACAAGCAGGAAAATTACGGAAATATATTTCGTCGTTTCCAGAGAAGAAAAAAATATTTACAGTCTGCAATCCAACCATACGTAACTCGGCCTACATATTTAAGTACGACCAAGAAGATAATCGCCAACAGAAGAAAGCAGGTCGAATGAAAATTTGCCTCGTTTTAGTTATTCACTGATATTCAGCAGATCGACTTAATTCTGGTCCTGATCCTCAAGAGGGATTTAAAGATGACCAATGTAAGTTTACTCCGCCCAACCCCTCCTCAATTACTCGTGCAATCAGGCGCGGATCCAGGGTGGGGGGGGGGGCCGAGCGGGCCTTGGCCCTCCCCCCCCCCCCGCAAAAAAAAAAAAAAAAAAAAAAAAAAAAAAGGAGAGAGAGAGAACGAAAGAAGGGAAAGGGAAAGAGGAGAGAAAGGGAAAAAAGAAGAGGAAGAAGAAAAGAAAAGAGGGAAGATGTAGATCGGGGGGGGGGGCAAAAGGACTTGCCTCCCAGGCTGTTGCCCCCCCCCCCCCCATCAAAAAATAGAAGAGAAGGAAGGAAAGGGAAAGAAAAAAGGAAAAGAGGAGATACAAGAAAGGAAAAAAAGAAAAAAGGGGATAACGACACAACAAATCGTCTTCTTTCTATAATGATTTAATGAAACTTAAGCTTCCGCTTAGCGCGGGAGGGGGAAAAACTCAATTCAGACGAGGATTATTTTTTGGGAACGGTACAACAAATCCTCTTCTTTCTCTAATAATTTATTGAAATGTCAAAGCTTCCGCGTTTCGCGGAGGAGGGAGGGGGAAACTCGCCCCTCCCTGCACCCACTCACCCCCAATTACGTCACTGCTGGTCACCATTACGAACCAATATTTGGCTCGCATAATTTCAAATTTTGCCCCCCCCCCCCCCCTAAGAAATCCTGGATCCGCGCCTGATGTATATACAACGGCAACAGTTTCAATATAAAATGTAAGTTCTTCTTACTTAAATCATTGGTCTGGAAACAATTATTTGCCCATTGTTGTTTATTGTATTACATTTTCACTGACAATGAATTCACATTGTAATGCAATTTTCAAGTTTCCCAGGCTTATTTAGGAGAACAGAAGATTGATATTGTTTAGTTGTACGATAACATCACTCAGTTTGATTTGATTTGATTGGAGATATATCTCATTAAAAACAGAGTAAAGGCTATACAGTTTCAAACAAACCTACACCATTAAACTTCAAGCTCACTCACACAAGATTTATTGCGACACTTTCAAGGCTACTTATTTTTTCAAGTTCATGTATATACAAAGGGCAACAGCTTCAATATTAAACGTAATTAAATCAATGATCTGGAAAATGTTAAGGCCCATTGTTGTATATTATACAACATTTTCCATAACGATGAATATACATTGTATAATGCAATTTTCAGGAAAACCATACTTGTCATTACTGTTATATTTGTTATATGATACTAAAGCAAATCGTTTCGCTTATCGATAAGATAAATCAATGTGAAGTACGTGTCAAATAATGAAATCATTACGTGCTATTTTTAACCGGACTAGACATTTGAAACGTATAAAAAATGTATACACTATTGACAGCAAGCAAGTTTTTTAAACAAAGAATTCAGAAATTGAACAACATTGCACATTTTAGTCTACACGGCATGCTCTACACCCTTAGCTGGACTGTAAACAGTTGTCTTCTTAAGTCTTCCATATAATATATACAGTAGATTTAAAGGAGGTCAATAATCATTATGAAAACACCACTTTCGTAAGGTTGACACATCAATATAATTGTGCACACATGTAACAATGTGATAATTTTTTCTTGGGGGGGGGGGGGGGGGACGGGAGGAGGGCAATCCAAAAAGGGACTGATATGTGAACATTAATATTGATAGGTCGCTTCACAAAAGGGGCATACATAGTCCTTTTTTGTGGATAGTTTTTTGAGCAAAACACAAAATAGGGGGAAGGACGGGGTACACGTCTTCCTTCAATTTTCTGAGGGGGATCGTCCCCCATGGATAATTTGAAAAAGTGCACACCAACAAAATGTATAGCAAATACTGACTAAAGACTGCAACACGCTTTAAGGCTCTGGTAGGCCCAAGAGTACAGCGTTTAGACTAATAGAAATGCTAAAATCTTCTCGCTCGGTCGCTACGCTCCTTCGCATAATATCCTAAAAATATACAAGTAAATATTGAAGAAAATATGTATTCTGTTGGTATCACGTATGTACAAATTACACTGTATGTTAACAAGATTAAACGTTATAGAAATAGATCAGTGTTCCAAAAATGAATATTCAGCTTGCTCTTTTAAGAAGTTCCTTCCTGCTCAGTCAAACTAAAATTTACCTAGTAAATATTTACAACCCTTCGGACTGCACACTAGATATCGGCAAAGTAAAAGTGAAGCGTGAAAAAAGTATATTGCTTGTTTTATGCTGTAGTTTTGCTAAAGAATGTAATTTTGTAACACAACAAAACTTCAAAAACCTGTGAGGGGTTTACATATAAAACTTTTCATACAGCTTTATGGGGGTAGTTCCTTCCGTCACCTCCGCCTCTTTCACTGGCGTACTGATGGGGGGGGGGGCAGTAACCCCCCCCCAATACAATTTAAACATGGGTTATTTTTAATTTGATACCAGTGATTTACAAGTATTGCTAAAATGGCAGTATTTTTCCATGAGCTCCCGGGGACTCTACCCCTGGAACCCACCAAGGGCCCTAAGGCGGGCCCCTGTTTGCTCATCTGGCCGTAATTAAATGCCTAAAGTCCTTGAGCTTTCGGGGGATCTGCCCTCTGGACTCAACCAAGGGGCCTAAGGCGGGTCCCTAGATGCGTAATTTGGTGCCTAAAAGCCCTTCCGTTATGTATTTCTTTGTCTTTCTTTCTCCATATCCTCTGCACTCTCCTTATGTATTTTTTGTTTTCCCTTTTCTATTACCTTCTCTTCCCTGGGTATACGTGCTTGCACATGTACTATATATGGCTAAACAGTTTTGTAAAAAAAAATATGCGCGAACGGTCAAGGAGTAAGAAGAAGGCAAAAAGAGAACAAAGACGGCATCCATGAAAGCCATGTGAGAGTGTCCACTTTTTTCGCTTTTACTTTCACTCTTGCATTCTTTCCTGAATCAGAGTTTTCTCACACTTTGTAGACTCGTGCAGGTTATGATCTTGTGTGTGGGTGTGTGTGTGTGTGTGTGTGTGCGTGTGCGTGTGTGTGTGCGCGTTTGTTTGTGTGTGTTCGTGTAACGAAATAACGTATACCATAGCTTGGCAATTCTCATGATCATGAGATACAATGTGAAAGGAAATGAGAGAATAATGGTTGCGTAGCTTAAATCAAAGTTCCCCATCGCAGTCCTCTCTTTTTGGATATTTTTGCATTTTGTTTTTGTAAGAGGTGTAGCGCCAGAAGAAAGAAGAGGAAGAAGAAAAGAAACGGGTGAAGAAGGAGATCGGGGGGGGGGGGGGAGCGAAAGGGCCTTGCCTCCCAGGCTGTTGCACCCCCCCCCCAATAAAAAAAATAAGAGAGAAGGAAGGAAAGGGTAAGGGTAAGATGAGATAAAGGGAAGGAAAAAGAAGAAAAGAAAAGAAAGGGGATATCATTTGCAATTTTCCCGCTGGATCAAGGAGGGGCAAAAGGCCCTTACCTCCCCCCGCCCCCGCTATAACAAAGAGAGAAAGAAGGAAAAGGGAAAGAGGAGAGCTAAAAGGGAGCAAAAAAGAGGAAGAAGAAAAGAAAAGGGTGAAAAGAACGGGAGATCAGTTCCGGTTAATCCCGCCAACAACGTGTGGATCGGGGTGGGGGCCGAAAGGCCCTTGTCGCCCCCCCCCCCCCCTCGGCAAACCTTAAGGAGGAGAGAAAGGGAAAGAAGAAAAAAGAGAAAGAAGAAAAGGGGGCACTGGCGTACTGATAGGGGGGGGGGGGCTTTATTTCTAATTTCATAACGGTGGCTTACAAATTATGCTAAATTCTTTCCGAGATTTTTCCTCAGTTTTTAGTAAATTATACTTTTGTATGCGTTTGTTGGAAAATGACAAATTCCTAAATTTACAGCCAGGCAAGAAACATGATTCTTGAGAAAAGTTAGGGCCCGGGGATCGGCTGGAATCGCAAGCCTCGAGCTTCCCCCCCCCCCCCTCCACTTTTTTTTTAAAAGGTATAGTAAAGAGAAATAGAAATAAAGAGAGCAAGAAAGAAAGAATAGTTAACTAGCTGCTCATCTGACCGAAATTAAACGCCTAAAAACCCCTGAGCTTCCGGGGTTCCGTCCCTTGCACCCCGCCTAGGGCCCTAGACTCCCCTGGATGCTAATCTGACGGAAATGTAATGCCTAAAACCCCTGTTTTCTGGGGGCTTCGCCCGCTGGACCTCACGCCAATTAGTGTCCTGCCAGTGTCACAAATAAGGTATAAAAATATGTTCATCTGACCGTAATCAAATGCCTAAAACCCCTGAGCTTCTCGGGTCGGACAAAGTATCAAAATTTGTTTATCTGACCGCAGGCGCGTAGCCAGGGGGGGGGGGGGGATAGAAAAAAAATAGAGAGGAGAGGAAAGGAAGAGGACGTAGGGAGAAAAGGAGCAGACAAAAAACATCTTTGAAATTCAGACAAGAATTAAGAGTATAGAGAACGGTACAACGAATCGTCTTCTATCTCTAATAATCTAATGAAACGTCAAAGCTTCCGCGCTTCGCGGAGGGGGGAGACTGAATTAAGACAAGGATTAAGAGTCGAGAACGATACAACGAATCGTTTTCTTTCTCCAATGATTTAATGAAACGTAAAAGCTTCCGCGCTTCGCGCGAGACGGGGGGGGGGGGGGCTGAATTAAGACAAGGATTAAGAGTTGAGAACGGTACAACGAATCGTTTTCTTTCGTCAATGATTTAATGAAACGTAAAAGTTTCCGCGTTTCGCGCGGGAGGGGAAAATTGCATTCAAACGAGGATAATTTTCGAGAACGCTATAACGAATCGTCTTCTTTCAATAATAGTTTAATGAAACGTCAAAGCTTCCGCGCTGCGCGGAGGGGGGGGGGGGCTGAATTAAGAGAAGGATTAAGAGTCGAGAACGG